GAACAACATTATGGTTACTAGACTCCCCCTCTTATCAAGTCCCACCCTCATTCCCCATTATATTCGCTGTCCACCAGCATAGGTAAATGCTATAGAGTCATTACTTGTCTTCTCTGTATATACTGCCTTTCCCATGTCCCCCCCACCCCCGGCTACAGTATGTGTGCTAATCGTAATGCCCCTTTCCCCCTCTTATCCCTCCCTTCCCACCCACTCACCCCAGTCCATTTCCCTATGGTAGCTCTTAGTCCATTTTTGCGTCTGTGATTCTTCTATTGTTTTGTTCCTTCAGTTTTTTCTTTGTTCTTATACTCTACAGAGGAGAGAAATCATTTGATACTTGTCTTTCTCTGCCTAGCTTATTTTACTTAACATAATACCCTCTAGCTCCATCCATGTTGTTGCAAATGGTAGGATGTGTTTTCTTCTTATGGCTGAATAGTATTCCATTGTGTATATGTACCACCTCTTCTTTATCTATTCATCTACTGATGGACAGTTACGTTTTTTCCATTTCTTGGCTATTGTAAATAGAGCTGTGATAAACATAGGGGTGCATATATCTTTTTGAAACTGTGCTGCTTCATTGTTAGGGTAAATTCCTGGGTGTGTAATTCCCAGGTCAAATGGTATTTCTATTTTGAGTTTTTTAAGGAACCTCCTTACTGCTTTCCAGAATGGTTGAACTAATTTACATTCCCCCAGCACAGGTTCCCCTTTCTCCACATCCTTGCCAGCATTTGTTTTTGTTTGTGTTTTGTATGTTGGCCATTCTAACTGGTGTGAGGTGATATCTCATTGTGGTTTTCATTTGCATTTGTCTGGTGATTAGCCATGCCGAGCATCTTTCATTTGCTTGTTGGCCATCTGAATTTCTTCTTTGGAGAAGTATCTGTTCAGATCCTCTGTCCATTTTTAATTGGCTTTTTTGCTTTTTGTTTGTTCAGGTACATGATGTGTTTATGTAATTTGGATGTCAACCCCTTATCAGACATGTCATTTATGAATATATTCTCCCATCCTGTAGGATGTCTTTTCGTTCTACTGATGGTGTTCTTTGCTGTACCGAAGCCTTTCATTTGATATAGTCCCTCTTGTTCGTTGTTGCTTTTGTTTCCCTTGCACAGCAGGATATGTTCATGTAGAGGTTGCTCATGTTCATGTCCAAAAGATTTTTGCCTGTATTTTTTTCTAAGAGTTTTATGGTTTTATGACTTACATTGACGTCTCTTATCCATTTTGAGTTTACTTTTGTGTATGGGGTTAGACAGTAATCCAGTTTCATTCTCTTACATGTAGTTTTCCAGTTTTGCCTGATCTTTGCCATTTTAATTGTTATATGTTTTGGTATTGTCCTCCATGTATCCCTTCTGTTGGGAGATCTGTGCACCTCCATGGCCTGAGAGAGTAACTCCTTCCCCTGATTGGGGAAGTTTGCAGCAATTACTTCCTTATAGACACCTTCTATCTTTTTCTCTCTCTTCCTCTTCCTCTGCCCCTTTAATACGAATATTGTTCTGTTTGAATTGGTCACACCATTCTCTCAGTATTCTTTCATTCTTAGAGATCCTATTTTCTCTCTGCGCCTCAGCTTCTTTTTATTCCTCTTTCTGACTTTGTATTTCATTTATTGTCTCCTCCACTATATGTAATCTGCTTTTAGTACCCTCCATTGTGTTCTCAGTGATTGGGTCTCTGTCCTCATTTTGTTCCTAAGTTCTTGATTATTTTTCTGTACCTCCTTGAGCATTTTAATGATTTTTATTTTGACATCTCATTCAGGAACATTCGTGAGGTCAATTTCATTTGAATCCTTCTCAGGTGGATTCATAATTTTGCTGTGAACCAGATTGTTTTAACGTTTCATAATTTGTCTGTGCTGCCTTCTAGTGTCCAGAAGCTCTACTCTCTGGAGCTGCTCAGCCCCTCGAGCAATTTCAGTGGTCACAGGGGAGCCGTGTTGGTGCTTGAGGGGAGGGAAGAGCTGTTTCTTGCTTCCTGGCTCCTATGCCTGTCTTCACTGCCAGAACCAGTGGACCAAACACACAGGTGTAATCCTGTATGCTTTGTGTTTTTAACTGCCATAGGCAGGGCTTCTCTCTGGCTGTCCTGACGCTAGAACTGGGGTTGCTGGTTTGTGATCCTGAGCCACGTGCAGGCTAGCCAGGGGAAAGACACAGCAGGCTGCATATCATGGTGGGGGGCCTTGTGGGTGGAGTGCGTGAAGATCATTTAAGCTCCCAACCTGCTGGGCAGGGTGCACCCAGACAATTTTGTTTACCTGTCCTTTGTCCTGAGCAGTAAGCTCTGTGCAATCCTTGCCCCTTTAGCAGCCCTCTCACTTTTAGGAAGTCTCTCAGACTGCCCACACAGATCAGCCTGATATGAATCCCTGTTTTCCACAAGCAGCTGGAATCTCTGTCTCTCCAGGTATTCTGCCTGTCTTAGCTTTACAACCCCAGTAAATCATCAGAGCACCATGCAGTGTAGGTTCATTCTCCCAGAGCAGATCTCCAGGGCTACGTGTTCAGAAGTCCCAGGCCTCCACTCCCCCCCTGCTCTGTTTCTCTTCCTCCTGCCAGTGAGCTGGGGTGGGGGAAGTGCTTGGGCCCCACCGGGTCACAGCTTTGTTATGTTACCCTGTTTTGTGACATCTGCTGTTTTTTTCAATTGTATGCAGTCTGGTGCAGCCTTCTTTCCTGTTACTCTTTCAGGATTAGTTGTATTATTAATTATATATTCATATTATATGTGGTTTTAGGAGGAAGTCTCTGTTTCAACTCTCACACCACTATCCTTAATCCCAATTTCCAGTATTTTTCAAGTATTTTTTCTTTTTGCCCTCCAGGACTAATTACTCAACTGTTAGGCTGCTTGAATTGTCCCACAGCTAACTTATGCTATATTCATTTAAAAATATTTTTTTCATTTATGTTTTGCACAGTTTTATATTGCTATGACTTCAAGCCAAGTATGGTGTTAGCTGTGGTTTTTTGTAGATGCCCTGTATCAGCTTGAGGAAGTTCCCTTCTTTTGCCAATGTTTTGATTATTGATTGAACTTCTTAAAAGAACAGTTTGACATTTACTCGGTAAAGTTAAATTTAACCATATCCATTGACGCAGCAACTTCATTCTTTATTTGGAAAAAAGTTCTTGCATTTGTATACTAGGATTAGTGTACAGAAAGCCAATGCCAGGATTGTTCATAATAGCAGTTGGGTAGAAACAACTCAAATGTCCAAAGTAGAATGGGTCAATAAATTGTGATATAGTCATACAATGGAATACTATATAATAGTCCTTTTCAAACTTTACCATGCATAATTAACTAGAATGTCTGTTAAAACACAAGTTTCTTATTTATTTCCTTACTGAACAAGTTTTAGAATTTATGTTTAAATGGAAACTTTTCACAATTCAAATCAATAATAATGATTTTACACATTTTCCTAAACACACACACACACACACACACACACACACACACACACACACATACACAATTTTCTGGCCTCGTCCCCAAATTTCTGATTTAGTAGTTTTCGGGTGGGGCCTGCATTTCTGAAAAATTTCCAGGTAATGCCGATTCAGGGAATACCCTCTGAGTACCACACTATACAGTAATGAAAACAAATGAATTAATTTCATGCATCAGTATAAATGAATCTCGAAAGCATGATACTGAATGTAAGAAGCAAGTCAGAGAAGAATTTATTTATATATATCCTTGTTCTGTTGAAAGTTCAAATGCATGTACAACTAAGCAATATATTGAGTATATATAAAGAAGACTAAGGGAATTAATGCATGAAATTCAAGGTGGTGTTTACCTCTTTGGGGAAGTGAGGATGATGCAAATGGACAAGAGTTAGAGGCATGTGGCCCTAATGTAGTGGTAGTGTTCTGTTTCTTAACCTTGGTGATGAGTACTTGGGTGTTTGTTTTATCATTATTCCAAGTATACATGTATGTTTTATATAATTGTGATTATGTGTGTGTACGATACAATTAACACTAAAGAAATGGAGAAGTTGTCTTTAGAGCTTGCAGGAGAAGGAAAAATATGGCCTTTGAAGTCAGATCTGAATTCAAATTTCAACTCTACCACTTACTAACTGTGTGACCATGGATAAGTTACTCCATCTGGGCCTCAGGTTCTTTATCTACAAAACAGGATCATAGTACTTTCCTTGAAAATTTGTTGTTCCTGGATCTTGTTTTCTGATAACTCTTCAGTTAAAAAAAAAAGCCAGCAAAAAAAATCTAACGAAGAAGAGTGAAATGCAATACTGAGAGAAGTTACAGAGAGGGTGAAATTATTGACGTTGGGGAAAAAAACTAGTGGATTTAACAGATACTCAGTCATGACTTCTGAAAGTGTAGTTTTAAGAGACAATAAGGATCGGCATATCAGTACAAAAGTTTATAGAAGTGAATAGGTGATGATACAATGAAACAAAAGTGTTCATTCTCTAGAGTTGTTTCCTAATGAAATCAAAGAAAAAAGCAGAACGTTAACTTGTGTGAGTATAGTAGACTCAGTGTGTACATTTCTGAATGTAAAAGGGAATTGAACACAATACATATTCCAACATGTCCACTAGGAAATGTGGTAATGCAGTAGAGTAAAATTTGCAACCTTGTGTGTTATTAAAATCTCAGAAGAAAAAAAATCTAACTGATGTTTGGAGTTTTGTTCACTGAGACAAGAACATGGCCTTATATTCACAGTTTAAGTATTGAGCTTGCCATTAAGTTTTTTGCCAACCAGTATAAATGTTTACATGTTCTTTTCCTTGTACTGTTTCATTCAGATTGAATAAAATATCACAAATATCCTCAGGGATAGCCTGGATGTTATGATCTTATCTTTTATAATTTTGATTTCCTTTCATCATGAGTCATCCTGCTGTGGTTGAATAAAATAGGCAATCACTTGAATTTTGTCTTTTACATGCCACAGTCTTAATAACATTGTGATTTCTTTGTTTAAAATAGGAACATTTAAATCCAGCTGGGCTTTTCTTAAAGATGAGAATCCTCTTGAAGGACAAAACAGCTAATGAAGAACTGTTGGAAGGTATTATCTGTGTGTTTGAGATATCATACAGTTTTGAATCATCACCACTTTATTGAATATAAGATCTGTTGTAGTATGCTAACAATAGGTGTAAGTTGTTGGTGACTGAGAAGGAAATTAATCACATAGGAAAAGGGGAATATTGTCAGCCAGGAAGAAAAAAGGGGAATACTTTCTTACTACCTAGCAAACTTACTAGGTAGTAACAAAGAGGTGAATAAAAGCCATCAGTTTTCTTTTAGTCTAGCAGGCTAACATAGCTTCCCAACCCTTCTGAAGTTATCTTCCACCATGAAAAAAGATAATCTATTGATAGAAAAACCTTTATATTGCTATACTTTTTATAATTACTTTTATAAACTTTGCTATTTGTTTTTCAAAATTCTCAAGGGACTACAGTGTACACATCACAAAATAAGCCTCCTGATACACAACTGTGGGTCATTTGGCAAGTCCCTTAATTTTTCTGTTTCCATTTCTTCATCTTCAAAAGAGATATTATAATAATGGCTGCCTCATTGTGTTGTTTTGAGAATCCTGTGAGAAAATGTATGTGAAGCATTTAGCACCATGCCCAGTGCATAGTTAGTGTGCAATACAAGTTACCTATTATTGTAGTTACGATTATTACTGGTATTACTACTGTATAGATGCATTAAGTGAGGCACAAAAATCTCTCTATGCACTCTGGTCCCTTAACAGTATTTAAATTATGTTCAGTTATAAAAATAATCTACTCAATTCTTTTAATGTGTACATACTTTATTTAACTATATAAATAGTTGCATTATAAAGCTGTATTATTCTTACTGTATAAAATTACATGTTAGTATCATAACTGATTATCTAATAAATAATAACAATTTGTAATAAGTAGGACAATAATCAAATTTGGAAGTAGCTCTAAATTTAGTGCTAATTTAGTACTGCTGAGACTTTCTGTGACCTCTAGAATCTTTGCCAATAACTAAGAGAACTCAGAAGCTGAAATGTATAGGGATATGCATATCTAGGTAATAGTATCATCTCAGTATACACAGGTTGAAAAATATTAGGAACCAGGGAGACAACTCCACTTTTTTTCACTAGGGGAATAAAGAAGCCAACTAAACAATTAAAGGAATAGGCTTACTTAAATTAATACTATATGGGAAGGCCAGAGAGATTATTGAGTCACTCAGTTTGAAGTTGATTCATTTTGGACTAGAATTCCCTATGAAAGTTTTTATCCAAATGTAGATAAGAAGCAGAATGTAAAGTGAAATTATTCCTTATTCCCAGATTGTTTTTACTTAACTCAACCTATATCCTCTTGATATTCAGAGAATGAATTTGCAATGTCAGATTGCAAATTAGAAGACTTCCCTGAATCCAAGTTTCCTATAGCTTAAATGATCTTTTTACTATGATCTTTTACTTCATTATATTGAGAGAATGTATAAGACTTGTATTTTTATAGTCTGTTCATTTCTTTCCTAGTGCAAGTACTTTACTCTTAGAATGGTCAACCTAATGGCTGGCATTGAACTTTCACTGTATTTTTTGGTGGTAGAAAACACAGAAATTAAAAAGTATGGAAATGTTTTATCATGAAAAGGTAGCATACTCATTTTTTGTAGTAGAAATTTAGAAATATACAAATTTTTTTATTATGAAAGTACATACCCATTAAAGAGGTTTTTGGAAAATAGTAAAAATATCTGTTGTCCCACCATTCACTGGAATTCACCATTCAACACCTTGACAACAGGGATTTTTGTGTGTTTTGTCCACTGCTAGTTTCCCTGGACCAAACATAGTTCCTGGCACAGAGAATATACTTATTATTTGACTAAATAATTAAACACAATCACTTCCAGTAATCTGATTATTATTAGTTTTTTTCCTCTTAATTTGCTTGTTTTATAGGATTGTGACCACATGATGCATACAGTGTTTGTTTTCTGTTTTTTCACGTGATCATCTTAGACGTTTTCCATGTTAGTGCATAGTCATTTTTTGTGTTATTTTATATTAGACAATTTTATTGGTTGATAATAGCTTATCACTACCTTATAGTAGACACTCAAAGTATATTTCTTTTTTATTGTTATTATGACCTACAATGATTTTAATATCTTTGTTTATACACATTTTCTTGTATTTATTTCAGATGACTTTTCAGAAGTACGATTTCTGAAGTAAAGGGACTAATAGTAGCAGCTGTCATTATTTTTTATTTTATTATTTTTATTTTGGTATCATTAATCTACAATTACATGAAGAAAATTATGTTTACTAGGCTCCCCCCTTCACCAAGTCCCCCCCACATACCCCTTCACAGTCACTGTCTATCAGTGTACTAAGATGCTGTAAAATCACTACTTATCTTCTCTGTGTTGCACAGCCCTCCCCGTGCCCCCCCCACACACTATACATGCTAGTCATAATGCCCCCTTTCTTTTTCCCCACCCTTGTCCCTCCCTTCCCACCCATCCTCCCCAGTACCTTCCCTTTGGTAACTATTAGTCCATTCTTGGGTTCTGTGATTCAGCTGTTGAGTGCTTACTAAGTGCTAGGTGCTTTGCTGTGTAATGCACATGCATTATCACACATAACCCTCTCAACAACCCTGAAAGATTGGTAATATGTTCCTCTTTTTACAGATGACAAAACTAAGATGAGGAGAAACTAAGTAACTTGCCTATGGCCATACAAATGGCAAGTAGTTTGAAATACAGATCCCAAGCTTTTAACCCCTGTGTTCTCAGCATGTAGTATTGCCAAAATGTTTACCAAAACGATTGTATAAAGTTACTTTGCATATGAGTGCTTGTTTCAAAGTACTATTTCCAGCATTAGATATTATTAATTTATAAAAAGATTCTGATAAATTGCCAGTAAAGACATGGTATATGGCAAACATTTTGAACAGAGGAAAATTTTTGAAAATTGCTAAATTTCCTCAAAAATAAAACTGATACTATTGTTTCACATTTTCCCATTGTTAGCTGTCATGGAAATACTACATCTTGACATGTCTTTAGAATTCTGTCTGAACATTGCTAAACTGCTGATGGATCATGAAAGGTACAGAAGAATTGATTCTTTAAAGTCTAACATTTTTCTAAGATTTCCATTAACATATGTTGTGTATATATGAATATATCCATCCATATTCAGAGGACAATATTTGCCATTGTGTTGATCAAGTTAGAAGCTGGAAGTGTTCACTTAATGATAAAATTTAAATTAAAAACTTTTTAAATGAAATTAAAAAGGAATAAGATAGGGCTTTATAATACAGGAGTTAGACTAGGTTAACCTGAAGGCCAGTATTATGTGGAACAGGAAAGCATGAGCAAGTATAGTTCTGTTGGGTGATATATACCTCTCCAGAATGGCTCCATCTTCATGCATCATTAATGTCAAAAGGGGCCTTAAAGTACTTAAATACATCTTAGTGTTCTCAAACATCAGTATGCATCAGAATTACTGGGAAATACGTGCTGGAAAAGATGCTCAATATCATTAGCGATCAGGAAAATGCAAATCAAAGCCACAATAAGAAACCACTTCACACCTGTGAGGATGGCTATAATAAAAAATACAGATAATAGAGATTGGCAAGGTTTTGGAGAAATGTAACCCATATACACTGCTGGAGGGAATGTAAAATGGTGCAACCACTTTGAAAACAGTCTGTCAATTCCTCAATAATTAAATAGAGAGATACTGTATAACCCAGCAATTTTACTCCCAAGTTAAACAGGAAATATATGTCCATATACAAACACTTGTATATGGATGTTCATAGCATATATATATATTTGTGTGTGTGTTACAATAAAATTTTATTTATGGAAACAGGCAGTGGGCGAACTCCAAGGCTGCCATTTACCCTAGTTCTAAGGGATCTGATTTCATCAGAGCTTCCCCTGCAGCAGAGCCATTAGCCCCTGAGGGCTGTGGAACCTGGACAAGTCCTTGGTCCCTCTGAGCTTGTTTCTTCACCTGAATGAGGGGGAATATTTTGAGAGACTTTCTGGGTGATCAGTGCCAAGAGGGAATGAGACCAGAATGTTGGAGGTAAGCTCAGAACTTCAGGTGGGGCAGTCCCCAGCAAGACACACTGTTCCCACACCATCTATGTCACAAATAGCCCAAACCCTTTGGTGTAAAATAACTATATTATGATGCTCTTGGGGTGTGTGGATCAGGAATCTGGGTCTGCACAATTAGGGACTGTTTGTCCTGATTCATGATGTCAGCTGGGAACACTTGAAAGTGACTCAGTGGCTGGAGTCAGAAATCACCTGGAAGCATCCTTCCTTGCAGGTCTGGCAAGCAATGCTGGCTGTCAGCAGGTTGCTCAGTGGGGCTTTGGCCAGAACATCTACCTGTGGCCCTTCTCGGTGGTCACTCTCCTGGTGGACTAGTTTGGGTCTCTTTACAGCATGGTGACTGGGTCCCAAGAGAGCAAAGTAGAAGTATATTTTTTTAACGCATAAGCACATCTTTACTGTCACTCCTATAAAAATATGTATTTTATAATCCAACATTTGTTTGGTTTTTAACATAACTGAGAAATTTGTGAGTATAAATTTGGTATGTTACTTTAGACCACACACTTTTTAAAAGGAGAAGGTACACCTTTCTGTAGTTATAATGTCATTTGCACAATGGCACATTCTGAACTTTCTGTGAAATAAAATACCATATTTGATTTACTGGTAAAAGCCTTTGTATGAAGTATTGGTGAATAAGATTTATTTCCATCTTATGGTATATTTTTGGTTTAAATTCAGAGGTTTTTTTTTCAGTCTTACATGTCCTTTTTGAAATAGTGTTCCTTCATCCAATATTTATAATCTGCCCAATATCATTGACTGTGAGTTTAACGAACTTACATTACTTGTGTGTATTTTTTTCAGTTTTGATGTCTTTAACAAATTTTAATAATTCCAACTCCTTCCCTTTGTTCCATCAGCCCTGCTACTTCTTTTTTGTTTTGTTTTGTTATTATTACTATAAAATCACATGGGCAACATTCTGGTTACTAGATTTCCCCCATTATCAAGTCCCCACCACATACCCCATTACAGTAACTGTCCATCAGCACGGTAAGATGCTATAGAGTCACTATTTGTCTTCTCTGTGGTATACTGCCTTCCCTGTGCCCCTACGTTATGTGTGTTCATCGTAATGCACCTTATTCCCCTTCTCCCTCCCTTCACACCCACCCTTCCCAGTCCCTTTCCCTTTGGTAACTGTTAGTTCATTCTTGGGTTCTGTGAGTCTGCTGCTGTTTTGTTCCTTCAGTTTTTTCTTTGTTTTTATGCTGCACAGATGAGTGAAATCATTTGGTACTTGTCTTTCTCTGCCTGGCTTATTTCACCGAGCATACTACCCTCTAGCTCCATCCATGTTGTTGCAAATGGTGGTAGGATCTGTTTTCTTCTTATGGCTGAATAATATTCTATTGTGTATGTGTACCACATCTTCTTTATCCATTCGTATACTGATGGACACTTAGGTTGCTTCCATTTCTTGGCTATTGTAAATAGTGCTGCGAGAAACATAGGGGTGCATTTGTCTTTTTGGATGTGAGAACTTGTTTTCTTTAGGTAAATTCCTAGGAGTGGAATTTCTGGGTCAAATGGTATTTCTATTTTTTGTTTTTTGCATAGCATATTTCTTAATTATCAAGTGTGGAAGCCACCAAAATAACCATCAACTGATGGTTAAATGAACAAAATGCAGGATACCCACACCATGGAATATTATTTGGCAATAAAAAGAAAAAGTACCTGTTATAACAGTTATAATAGTAACTGTTATAAAAAGCAGTACATTATATAACATGATTGAACCTTAAAAACATGCTAAGTGAAAGAAGCCAGTCATAAAGAAGACTACACATTGTACCATTCCCATTTATATGATATTTCCAGAATAGGCACATACATAGAGATAGGAAGTGGTTGCCTAATGTGGTGAGAGTTGGGGGAAAATGGGGAGTGACTGCTGATGGGTATGAGGTTTCTTTTTAGCATAATGAAAATGTTCTAAAATTGATTGGGTGATGATGGTACAACTCTGTGAATATACTAAAAACCATTGAATTATATACTTTAAGTGGATGAATTGGGTGATATGTGATTTATACCTCAATAAAGCTGTTGTAAAAAACTATCACTAGGGAATATAGAGGTCGGGCCCCACCTTCTTCCAATAAGCCCAGACCTTTGTATCCTTTATTAGTTCTCCAGGTGGTTCTGAGAACCACTACTTTAGACCAGAGGTCAGTAAACATTTTCTGTAAAGGACCAGTTAGTAAATATTTTAGGCTTTGTAAGCCATAAAGTCTCTGTCACACCTAGTTTAATCTGCTCTTTAGTGGTAAAGCAGCTATAGACAATCTGTAAATGAATGGCAATGGTTGTGTTCCAGTAAAACTTCATTTACAAAAACAGGTGTCCAGTTGGATTTGTCCTACAGGCTAGCTTGCCAGTTGTTGTAGACCTATCTCCTACCTGAGACATGATTTCTTGTATGAGAAGTCATTCATCCTCTTATGGAATACCTGAGGAAGGGATGATGATTATGATTATATTTTTACAAAGCTGGAATTTACAAAATTCATGTAATTCTCCCTCGTAAAATTGATACATATTTTCCAATTTCCAATAATTTCTAAGGCTGGTAGTTCTGCATTAAGTTAACATCAAAATCTTTTACTTGAGAGATGTTCCCCAGTTCATTCTAACATTGTTTATAATATGATTACTTCTGGATGTCGCTTTCAGTTTAAAAATATAACTGGAAATCAACACAATATTCCAGATGTTATCTAATCAACAGTATATGTCTTTTGTTTTCTAAATCTGCACAATATGGTAGTAACTAGACATATATAACTATTTAAATTTAAATTAAAGTTAAACAAAATTTAATATTTAATCCCTCAGTCATAATAGACATATCAGTCTCAGTAGCCACATGTGGCTAATGTCTACCTAACTGAACAGCACAGATAGAAAACATTTCCATTGTAGGAAGATTTACTGGGCAGCATTATTCTAGATCCTGTGTTTCTTTTAATGAAACCAGTGTTTAAATTAGCTCTTTTTCTTTGGACACTACACATTTGCATAATAAAATTTTTTTTATCAACGTATAGCTGATAAACAATATTATATTGGTTTCAAGTATACAACATAGTCATTCAACAGTTACACACATTATTAAATCCTCACCCCAGCTTGTACAGTTACTGTCAGTCAACACAGAAAGATGTTATAGAACCAGTGATGATATTCTCCATGCTGCCATTTTCATGCTGCACCTCCAACTTATATTATGATTGAGATATTGTGCCTATTTATGACCCTACCCATCGCACCTTCCCATCACAACCCCTCCCACATGATAACCACCAGTCACTTCTTAGTGTCTACTGAGTCTACTGCTGTGTTGTTCTTTTTGTTTGGTTTTGTTTTTAGATTCCACATATAAGTGAAATCATGGTATTTATCTTTCTCTGCCTGGCTTACTTCACTTAGCATAATATCCACTAGGTCCACCCATGTTGTTGCAAACGGCAGGATTTCTTTCTTTTTAATGGCTGGATTGTACCACTTCTTTATCCATTCATCTACTGAGGGGCACTTAAGTTGCTCCGTGTCTTGGCTATTGTAAATAATGCAGCAGTAAGTATAGGGGCGTATCTGTCTTTTTGAATCTCAGATTTTGTTTTCTTTGGGTAAATTCCTAGAAGTGGACTTCCTGGTCACATGTTGTTAGTAATACTAGTTTCTTAAAGAACCGCCTTACTGCTTTCCCTAGAAGCTGCACCAATTTACAGTCCCACCAACAGTGTTGGAGGGTTCCTATTTCTCCACATCCTCCTGAACACTTATTATTTCTTGTCCATTTGACAGTGTGAGGTGATATTTCATTGTGGTTTTGGTTTGCATTTCCCTGATGATTAGTGATGTGGAGCATCTTTTCATGTGCTTTTTGGTCATCTGTATTTCTCCTTTGAAAAATATTCAGGTCTTCCGCCCATTTTTTAATCCGGTTATTTG